AATGATTTCAGTCTTGTCGTCATTCAGCTTGAGTCGATTAGAAGTCATCCAATGATCAGCAATGCATTTCTGCATGGCATCAATTGCGACGGACTGATTCTCAGAGTCAGGTTTAAATGACACGTAAAGCTGGTTGTCATCAGCGTACACATGGACTTGAGGTAAATGACGCTCCACAATAGTGAGAAGCTTGGTGGCGTATAATAGAAACAAAAGCAGGCCCAGACAAGAGCCTTGAGGCACACCATAATTTACTGGGAATTTCTTTGATTTTCCACCATTCGGTAAAATAGACTGTTGTCTATTCAGCAAATACGAGTTGAACCATGATAGTGCCATTCCGGTAATTCCAAAATCTGAGTTGAGCCGATCCAGTAAAATACTGTGGTCAATAGTGTCAAACGCCGTACTTAGGTCTAAGAGAACAAGTAAGGTCACGGACTGTTTATTCATATTCAGCAATATATCGTTTTTTATTGTGAATATATCGTTTTTTACTGTGTTTTTACGGTGCTGTGAAACTCAGGATAGGAGGATTGAAACTTTGGATAAAGACCATGGAGGGTGAGGTGACTATGGGTCTGATTGAACACATCTCGCTCTGTCAGCTTAGATGCAAACGGCAAGTTACTAATAGGGCGCAGGTTGCTAAATATCTTCAGCCAGAGTGTACTTCGGAGATCTTCCAATCTTGAGGGAACTGTCCAGATTCTTACTTCTTACTTCTTAAGACTTCTTACTTGATGACGTGAGACGTTATTTCTAATATAGCAGGGGGGGGTAAGAGCTATTTTCTTGTGCTTCGGAGGTGGGTTCTAACTAATTTTCTGCTTAAGAAATCTGGTTTTACGACCCCCTTCTGGTAATTATTGCACAGTCCCTAAAAACGGAAGTAGTGGTACACCTAATATGCTGTACCATTATAATTGCCGAGTTTAGTTCATATAAACAAATGTTACGATCTCGATTTTACAAAAACGTAGCGAGGAGAATACGAGTTGCACACTACTGTTAGAACAAAGATTGTGATTTGATGAAGAGAGACAGGCAATGCAAGAAACGAAGGATAATAGGCATTGTCTGCATACAAATCCTACAATTCTTTGCTTTTGTTGCCTCGATCAAACAAAAGCTTCGATGTGACAGTAGTGGTCGACACGAGAATACCAGTGTG